TGGTTGTGGGCACACGTCATGCTGATACTGTCAGACCTGGCAAAAAAGCACAGAATAACACTTGTTTCTTTGTTTCTGTCACGTCCGCAGGATTAAAATGCCCAAGGCAAGCTATTGGCAGTCGTATAGGAGAAACAACGGCGCTATGAAGGTGTAAAAACTGCCCATGGTTCTGGTTCCACAAAATCACTTAGCACTCAGCAGTCCTTTGCGCTCTCCTCAGAAGCCTATTGATTTGAAGAAAAAAAAAAAGAGCTGAAGGATGCAGATGAACGGCGCTTTGTTTATCTCTCAACACGTTTCATTGTCGTGTCTATCTCTCCCAGCATGCTCTCTGCCTCTGCTCTGAACAAAGCTGCGATTTTACCCCCAGTCCCTCCACACCTTCCTAATGTCTGTCAAGTTCAAATTTAGACCTGGGAAGTTTGCGTTTCGAGGCGTTCGTCAGTTCCTCGCTCACGGCCGTCTATGAAATAACAGAGAAAGCAGGTGAGCGGGGAGAGGGAAGCCATTAGACGCATGTTAACAAGGTTTGTATTGATTGTGTTGCTTCTACACCTTCCTGTGTATCAGGAAAGAGGGTAGCTCGGTTTCATATCATAGACTTGCAGATTTTGCTCTTGTGTCGGAGTGAAAGAAGTCGATTGAATTTAGTGAAGGGAATTTCTGCAAGTAGAGATTACTAAAGCGAGGTTTGAAGCGGTTTCTAAAGCAGGTAGACAGTCTCTTCAACGGTAAGTCAGCCAGAATCATTCAGAAGAGGCAATGTACCGACCTGCAACAAGAAATGTGCTTAAGTTTAATCAAAAAAATACATGTTTCTAAGTGAGTAGCCATGTTATGACATCCATAGATTGTATGTTGTGCTTTTAAAATTTCAACAAGGATTTAAATTGAGAATATGAAAATTAAATAGACCCTGGAAACCGAGAGAAGGATGTAATGAGGAGGAGGAGGGTTGCGGCACGAGCTGAAGCTGAAAATGCAAGTAAAGCAGTGTCTAAATGCAGACTGATTGCAGCACAGATGTGTAGTAGTAGGAGAGAACTGGAGTGAAGGCGGTGAGATTCCAGTCTGAACTTACACTGTAGTGCTCTATGCTTTTATGATACTTTTGACTTTATCTAAGGGAAAGCATTAACTTCCTGCCCTTACAATTTATACATGATTTTACTCTGTTATTTAAAGTCTAATGCAAAATGACAAAAATCTCTTTAGCAGGTGCTTTCATTCAGTTTGTTTGTAAGCAATAATGATCTCGTCAAAGATAACCAAAGCTGATGTCAGACTGGACTTGCCCGGCTTTACATTTTTGGTGCAAAAGCTTCATTAGCAGGTTAATTAGATTAGCTTTGGAAAGACGGACAGCAGCATCAGCACTGCAAATCACCAGCACCACAATCTATACCCAAGATGGAGCACTAACAAAACAGCACAGCCATTTTGAAAACAGGAGGAAACACGAACCAGGCACGATTACGGCTGCTCAGTTCGACAACATCTTTGCCTAAACTTTAACCAAACCTGCAGAGGCTTTTGTTCTGACTGAGAAAATGCCCAATTTGAGTCCGGATGCTGGTTCAGAGAGAGGCTGTGTGATCCCAGCTCTGTTTACATTATCGTTTTGTCCTTGAGACTTGTCACCCACCTTACTTTATATTATTGAACAGGGGTTTAAATGATGTGGGGGGAATAAATTAAATTAAAAAAATATCAAGGGTGTTGTGATCAGCAGCACAAACTGAAAAATTATCCTATTTAGATAGAACCAAACCACAAAAAATCTCTTTCACTGCAAAAAGTGACAAAATATAAGTCAAATATTGCTTGAATCAGGCTAAAAAGATAATAAAACAACATATTCAAATGGGACAAACCAACATGTCTTGTTTGTAATGAAAATTCAAGTCTATTCTGACTTGGAAAGATAAATAACTTGTAACTGTTTGACCCATTGTTTATTCAAGATTTGTTGACTATTTATTCATTTCTACAGTGTACTATTTCACTTTGCACCTGGATTTGTAAAAACACATTGTGACATTTGATCCACTGTATATCTCTGTTTACCATAGGCACTCCAAGCCCTTATCGTTTGATTGTTTATACTAGCACTGTAAAATCAAAGTGCCTCATGCTTTCTAATGAATGTCCAATGGTATGGAGAGGTTGTACTTAGACTGGAGTTGCATGAGAGCGGAAAAAGAGCTCCTTATGCAGCCTCCAGGGACGCACAGAGGCAAAGTGGTGGGCACGCCTGTCTCTTGGTAAGGTGAGCTAATTGTGGGTTTGATCTTAGCGTGTCTCACACTAGCAAGAGTGCATTTTCTTTTTAAGTGTGATTAAGTATGAGTATGTTCATGCAAGCGTTCGATTGGAAAAAATTGCTTTTTACTATACGTATACAACTTATTCCTATTCGTTCCCTTCGGTTATTGCAGAAAAGCAGTAAATATCTTTACCCCCCTCCCATCTCTGTGTGGAGTGAGAGGACAAATGCCCAAAAAAATAACAATTGTAAACCGCTTTGTGACTCTGGTCTGTGAAAGGCGGTATATAAATAAAGCTTACTTACTTACTTACTTACTTACTTACTTACTTTATGTGAACATAACATGACCCCAGCAGTATTCATATTTTTGACCCTACATGCTGAGTCTGAGTGGGTGGAGACAGGGGGTAGGTGAAAACAGTCATTTACGTTCAATTTGGGTTGATTTCCAGAAGGATTACTCAACGATACAGGAATCAGATCATTATTTATGAACAATGCGAGAAAACAGTTTCAAACACAGCATTTATTTTTAAGTTAATGCCAGCTACTTTTTGAATCATATTTTCTCTTTCAAAGCAGGCACCGCCGAGCACAGTTAGCTCCGCCCATTCTTACCCCAATGCGTCCTAATTGGACAGAATACATTTAAATCCTTGAAACTTAGACGATGGGCTTAGCAATTGGCAACTATTCTCTTCCAGGAAATATAATTGGCGGGGGTTGTGCCCAGGAGAGGGCCTGTATAAAATATATTGTTTTTGAAAAATGTGATGCGGTTACATTTTCAAAATATGATATTCAATTGAGGTTACAAACATAACCTTTAAAGGAGCCGTTTGTAAAAATAGAGGCCAAAAGAGGTACTGCATTCTCGATGACTCAGGTTGCCAGATTTGCAGACAAATCCAGCTGGGATCATAAAATCTGAATAAAGAAATTTGTCAACAATAAATCTAAAACCAACACCTTTTTCACAAAGATAGAAAATGTGGTTTTATTCCTTGTTTTGTCATTAATGATTTGAAATGCAAGTATCTGAACTACTGTTATCAGTTAAAGTATTCAAAAAGAGCATAATTTTTTAATGCCTTTTGACAGATTAGAGCCATTTAATGATGACATGGAAATCTTACATATATTGCTACTTTGAATAATAATAATGTAACTTTACTGAGTGAGTTGGCAACTATATAGACTAAATTAAGGGAACCAACAGTTGTCGCATGGGGAAAAAAAGGATGGACAAACCAAGAATTTGAAAATGCATGACCACAACCACAAGCTGGTGAGAAAAGAGACTTGGATCAATCCAATTTTTTGAAATGCAATCGCTTCCGAAAATACATCTCTAGAAATTGGACTGAATGACGGCAAAGGTGATGCTGCTTCTGTAGGTTCTGGCCTTAGTGTCCCCCTTACACCGTGCGTCTATTCCAACGCTCACAAACAGCAAACGCAAAAAAAAAAAGGCCTCATTAATCTGAGAAATAGAAGCGAATAGTAATCTGCTGCGGTGCCAGAGAGCGGCGAGACGAGCCCAGGGCGCACATGCCATCCCAATTACGAGATTAGTCTTTCATCTTCTCCCACTCAGCTGATGAGAGTGTCCATCCGCGTAAATATACACTGGAATTCCACATTCTCACATTTTACTCACTCACGCGTCTCAAACACCAGGCCGCGTACAGACTCGCATTGTTGCCGTGCCAAATGGGGTGGAGCCTTTTACATTCATTCTTAACTGTACAAAGATGGCCTTATTGAAAAACGTGTTTTGACAGTGGGATACAGTAGCTGCGGTTTCAAGACTAGTGTCCTGGTTTTAAATAGTCTAGATGAGATTCAAATGGCAGCGTTTTGAAATATTTAATGCTTCATACCTCGGGGCAAGTGGTGGAAAGCTGATGTGTTGCTATGGTAACATATATGGCGGTGGTGAGGCCAGTGCTTTGTGAACGGCGTACTGGAAGAGCCAGATAACCGCTGGGCTCTGTGCGTGGAATTATAAGAAGCTGCAGTAGAATGGAAGAGGGTTTTGGAGCAGACAAGAGAGAGGATCCGGAGGGACGGCCGCTAATGCAGGAAGTGTGGATTAACTGGCCCCATTTGTTGTGATAGTTCATAATCTGCTAATGGACACAATATGGGTCTGCTCTTGTATAGATACACTGCAAAAAATGTCCTCTAATCCAAAAAAAAATAGCAGTTTTTACGCAATATGCATGCATTTAGGTGTATGCTGAGCTACTGTATATACTGTATGCTAGTAATGATGCATACTTCTCTGGCTGGGAGCGTGTTTCATGACTCATGCTTAAGATATAAATGCTGTAGTAACAATGTGTCAGAACAGAGACATACAGTTCTTACGATAATTATGTGTAGCAGTAATGCAGATATGACAGAGGTTCACGGTACAAAATATGCTGGTTATATTGCGCAGATGCTAACTATAACACACATACATCCAATAAGCAAATCCATTCTGTGTGTTGTTTGTACCTGTCCTGTCTCTTTAGTCTTTGAATGTATTTTAATGTTTATGGACCACTTGTCTCCTCAATAAAGCCTAGTAATAATTAAATAAACTTGGACTGAAATGCACAGTTGTTGTGATGTTCTGAGCTTGCTGTGTCCCTCGTGAATGCATCAAACTGTATTTACGAGCAGAATATAAACTCGTACTCACCTCTTATTCATGAATCTTCTTTCTTTTGTGCCACAGGGAAGTCCCAGGACGGCAGTATCTCGGAGATGGAGGAGCTCCCCGTCCCACAGAGCATCAGGATCAGCAACATCACCTGCGACTCCTTCAAGATCTGCTGGGACATGGAGGCCCGCAGCAAAGAGCGCATCACACACTACTTCATCGACCTGAACAAGAAGGAAAACAAGAACTCCAACAAGTTTAAACACAAGGTGAGAGGGACGACACAGAGACGACACAGAGAGGGTGACATAGAGAGGGTGACACAGAGGATGACATAGAGAACACACCACAGAGAGGACACCACCACACCCTCAACACTCATGAGAGGTCTCTTGTGTCGATCAGAAAACATTCTCCATGTTTAGCCCACTACCCTAAGTGGTTCTTAAAGTGGGGGTCACGATACACTAAGATAAAGAGAAATGAGAGACAATTTCAAGTCTAAAATATAAAAATATTGAGCACAGTTACTTGTTGATCTAAGTAACGTTAGGTTAAACAACTATTTCTACACTGCAATGAGATGTTTTGATAAATAATCAACAGTTATATCTGTTATCGTTAAGATTACATACAGGCTTTTTAGAGTAATAAAACCTCATGGGATAGTGGTTAGTGTGGCCAATGTCAAGACCAGTTAACAATTCTTTGCTTTAATGAGTTTTCATTTCACTGATGGATTGAGCTGTGATTAATCCTTAACTTGTCGCTGTACTTGTGGTAAGGGTTGTGGTCTTGCATTGAGCCAACAGTAGAAACTCAAATACAACCCAAAAATGAAATGAACATATCTTCTTAAATATTTCATCCCTTTTATTTTTTACTTTTGCAAATGAGATTTTCAACTCAACCTTTTGCCATCACCATAGTAACTACAAAAAGCTGCTTCCCCAGCGGACGGTTCACACCTCCTGATTTCATCAGCCTCTTGGAGCTCAGAGCTTCCTCGTTACAGGTGACCTCTCCATCGGATGTGGACGCTGTGCTGGAGACGGTTGCTAGGCAAATGCCCCTGCTTGTATCATGAACAGTAGAACCCCTCAGACGCCTCAGAGCTGGACAGGGACAATAGTCACCAAGGACCAAAGCCTCGCATGAGAGGAGTCGTTTAGTGCTCTCTCGCACACAAGTGCAGTGTAGCACTGATGAGTACATCTATATTGAGCAGAGCAAGAAGAGAATAGGTTATCTGTGGAGAGTGGAGACGGTCAGTCTGAGGGGAGACTCTCAGATGTGGTCACGTGATCTCTGACATCATCACGCACATATTGTAGAAAGACTGGAGTGATTCTCCCACCTGAAGCCAGACAGGAGATGTCTCAGCCAGTGTCAGGTTAATAACTGAAATGACCTGTGAATTCACTTCAAGACAATAATCTGTGTGACGTAACCTTTAAATTTATCAGCAAAGAATGAGATCTGCTTTTTTGAACTGTTCTGTTTTTTACATAATTCTGAAAGAAAAATAGATGGAGTAGAACCAAACTATTCTACTTCTGATGAGGGATACTATAATAGCACAAAACATAAATGTGTCTAATATTATGCAAATGTTAAATATAGCGGTCACAAATGGAGCAGTGTTTAGCATTTTAGTAGTGGGTTTATTGCATACGTCATTTTACTATAAAAGGTATGTGATCTACACACAAAAAATTCAACAACGTACGAACCAAGTCTGAACTCTTTCAATCTAAATAATTCTCAAAATGTCCAAATTTTACCAAATCAAAAACCAAAAATTCTCTAAATCTAGTTCATGAATCATAATGATTTCTTAAAATGCCCAGAAGGTGTTTTTTAATCCCTTTTGAATGTTGTAAATGTGATTTACGCAGGATGTCCCGACCAAGCTGGTGGCCAAAGCCGTGCCCCTGCCCATGACGGTGAGGGGCCACTGGTTCCTGAGCCCCCGCACAGAGTACACCGTGGCCGTGCAGACCGCGTCCAAGCAAACAGACGGAGACTACGCCGTGTCCGAGTGGAGCGAGATCATCGAGTTCTGCACTGCCGGTAATACTAACGCACACGCCACCTGAAACTGCACGTAGCAAAGAGAAACTGGAGAATATGGATTGAAGAGAAGAACATGAGATTATCGGGAAGATGCAGAGGTCAATAGTTTGACGTTAGAAGCAAATGTTTTTCATGGAGTGGAGATGTGCAGAGATACACCTTATAAAAGAAATATCAATAATGATGAACTGAAGCAATATTCAGAACCATTCTCTCCATCTTTATCTATTGTCATCTGTGTGACATGTGTTGTAGCTACGTTAAATTGTTGAATTGCCAATTTCTATAGGGTTTTCCATCTTGTGATTCAGGCAACATTTCTTCCTGTAATTGATTAAGGGGATAATATTTACATGCAAACTTCTTCCTCTGCACTAAAGTCACTGGTCACTTTTTCATTCTGCCCTTTTTATCAAAACTTTATGAAAACGTAGGTTGGCCTTTGCTGTTTGTTAGAAGAGGGAAATATTGTATTCAAGGTTCATGTATTGTATTGTCATTGCATGTTTTTTACAAAAGACTTGACCTCTGGCTATCTGGAGACAAGATCGGGCGGCACGGTGGCTGAGTGGATAGCACTCTCGCCTCTCAGCAAGAAGGTCCTGGGTTCGAATCCCGGTCGGACCAGGGCCTTTCTGAGTGGAGTTTGCATGTTCTCTCCCGTGTCTGCGTAGGTTTCCTCCGGGTACTCCGGTTTCCCCTACCACTAAAAATATGTCCAATAGTTCTGGCATGCGCCTCCTGTACTGGCGACCCCGCTCCCATCTCTGTGTGGAGTGAGAGACAAATGCCCAAAATTAACAATTGTAAACCGCTTTGAGACTCAGATCTGCAGTGAAAAGGCGGTATATAAATAAAAACTTACTTACTTACTTACTATCACAAGAACATTTGCTTTTAAAAACTGGATTTTCAATATAAAAAGTTATTATTTTCAAACGTCTGCCAAGTTGGACACTCAAGTGGGTGCTATTTTCACATGTTGTTTCAGAATTGCATATAAAAAACTACATATTTTATTATTACGATCTCTCTCTTCTATTACTCTATTAAATATGCCAGCTTTTCGTACTGAAAAAATATGATTGTTCTCTTTACCTATGAGACTTTTATGTGAGTTCATTTACAGGGAAGATCAGCAGCGGCTGAAAAAGGACGAGGTTTGAATGTAGAAAAAGAGAAGAAAAGAGAAATGTGCTGATCCTTAGTTACACCACTGCACACCACTGCACAGTCATGATGAGGTCCTTTAAGGTTCCTGCGCTCGCTCTCTCTGAGCCTTAGCAACGCTCACTTGTGTAACACTCAAACAGGGCTTTTTAGCTATGCACCATTTTGCTATAGTGAGAACCTCTGTGCATTTTCAAAAGTAGGTCAAATCTGTGGTTTAATAGGAGTTGAGGGGCAGATGGCCGTGTTGGCATCTTGACAGCTTGAGTCCAATGAGTCACTTGTTACTGAAAAGGACCCCTCCTGAATGCTTAGCGGTGTAATAGGTTTATTTGTATTACGCAGATGAAAAATGGACTTGTGATCTCGGGATAACAGCGAGTGGGAAAACTGTGAGTGTGGATTCTCTGCCAAGTCTGGCCGGCGCAGAAAGCAACATCTCTGCTAACATTTTCTCCATCTATTCTCCTCAAACAGATTCAGTTTTGTGATTTTAAAGTGTTATATTTATTTGTTTTCTGATGTTGTTTTGCAGACTATTCTACAGTGCACCTAAACCAGCTCCTGGAGAAAGCAGAGGTCATCGCAGGACGCCTGCTGCCGTTCTCAGTCTTTTACAGAAACCACAACAAAGAATACTTTGACCAGTGCAGGTAATAATTCTTTCTTGTATCTAGATTCTCAAGCAATGTATGGATTTGAATTCAATACAGCAAGGGAGCAGATGAGGTCAAAGTGGGTTAAATTGTTGTGCAAAAGCTGATGTGTAAATGGGGAAAAGTTGTAAATTAACTATTGATAGTATTTATGCAAGTTTTAAGTGGAGAAAAAGTGAAAAACGTCTTTAGCTCACCCTTTAGTAGTTAGTTGCTGTTATGCATAAGTTTGCCATAATGTTATTTCTGTATGTTGAGCGTGTGTTAACTAACACCATCGTGTGGTCATTTGAAGTACTGCCCAGACTGTCAGGAAAACAATACAATAATAGACCCATGCTAACAAGTGGTTTGACCTGCGGAGGAAGGGACTGTTGCCACTATGACAACAACACAGCATCAGTTGTCATTATATTTATACTTATCAGTTGAGCTGTGTCCTGAGGAGGAACAATGCACTGCCTCTGAGCTTTCCATCTTTCAAAGTGGCTTCCTGTTATTGTTATTCACTTAGGACATGTTTATATTCATGATTTTACATTTGGATTGTTTGTAATGCAAGCTAATGCTTTGTGTCTCGGCAGTGATGTGTTCTGTAAAGAGATTCTTTAACAATATATATCTTTGTTACTTATCTATGTTATATATCATGCCTATGTTATTTATCTCTGAGGCTAATCAGGTGAACACATGTGTGTTCTGTTGCAGAGACGAGCATGAGAACCGCATGCTGCCATCAGTGAAGGACAACAGTGGCAGCCATGGCTCTCCCATCAGCGGCAAACTGGAGGGCATCTTCTTCTGCTGTAATACAGAGTTCAACACGGGCAAACCCCCGCAGGACTCCCCCTACGGCCGACAGCGCTTTGAGGTGCAGGCGGACGCCCTGTTCAACCCCGACACCAACCTGTACTTTGGGGACCTTTACTGCATGTACACGGCCTACCACTACGTCATCCTGGTGCTGGCCCCCAAAGGATCCCCAGGGGACGACTTCTGTAAGGAGAGGCTCCCGGCTCTGGATCTCACCAACAACCGCTTCCTGACGTGCAAACAGAGCGAGGCGGGGGACGGCCGGCTGGTGTTCCACCACGCTCAGGACGTCATCCTGGAGGTCATCTTCACGGAGCCTGTGGAGCTGTCGCAGGGGAAAGTGTCGGAGATCAGCGGGCATCAGCTCATGAGCCTGTCCACAGTGAACGCCAAGAAGGACCCCAGCTGTAAGACGTGCAACATCAGCGTGGGCCGCTAACGGAGCAGCAGGCGCCTCATGACCGGACTGCACTGCCCACAGTCCACTCACTCAAGAGCAGGACAATGCATGAAGCAGCAGCTCTTGTATACGCAGAGGCATCATGGACTTCATCCCCAGAGGAATAACACAAACTGGTAAAAAAAAGATGGTCTCAGTCAACGACAACCCCACGCAAACCCAGTAACCGCATTTACCACGAGGCATAAAAGAAACCCTGGATCCTCAAAGTGTTTATCAAACCCTTTAAACATACTAACAAACTGCAGCTGCTTCTGCCTCTTCTACAACTTCATTTGAAATACTTCTTTGTTATTGACCTTTTTCCCATAAATGATTGTACGTGTCAAGTTGAGGGATAGCAAACAATGTGGATATTTCATTCTTCAAACCTAATCTTCATCTCGTTTCAAGCATACACTTGTGAACTGCAGCATCCATTTTGACTCATACCAAAGGTGTTAAAAAGAAAAGGAAAAGATGTGTAATATGAAGTTTTCCAACTGCAGCCTGGTAAATATGTGCTGACGTCTGATGACTAATGTGACCTATTGATGAAGTTGTTGACCTACACGCATGACGCAGTTCTGTGCCGCATGAAGAAGGCTGTCAGTAAATCTGCCACGTATTTATTTTTCTGCTGTAAACCAAGAAAGTAGAACCATATACTGTGTTTAGCAGAATAAATGTGAAAAATATTTATTTTTTATCAATATATATATTAAGATAAAATAAATATATATAAAAAAATATATAGACCAGAAGTGCACAATGTCAAAGGTTGTCAACGGTCATTTGGACGGAGGGTCAGGACTAAACTCATTCTAGCCTGTTTAGCTTTGCACTAGACACAAACAGAGCTTAGCAGTTATTCTAATACCATAGCACGACAGATCTAGTTCACTGACATGCACAATGCCACAAGGTTTTCTCCTTATTATCATACAAACAAAGCTATTCAAAATGCAGTTTCCTCTATTTCTTCTTCAATATAAAATGGAAAGTGCCATGGACTACATAACATTGTAAAAAGATGAAAGGGTAGCGTTTGACACCTGGTTAGAGCGTGAGCCATCCGTCACGGTTCAGACGACGCTACGGGCAGTTTAAGGCCAGGACATACAGGAACGTACGGATGTCTGGGACTAAAACCATTCGTCTCTCATCATTGTTCTTTCACATTTGTTTTATCGCAGCATGGCATGAACATTGTGGACCGTGTAGATTTGAGTCCCACTGTGAGTCACTCAGCTGCTGGTTAGGTGGAGCTCTGGCGTTTGGCAAGCAGGGCCTCCAGGAGACGCAGCTTTGCTTTCAGGTTCTTGTACTGACGGTACTCCTCTGCCATGGGTCCGCGGTCCTCCTTTTGACAAGCCCTGTTAAAACGAGACGAACATTACCGCGTCGAACGTTAACTTGCTGCTTCCACAGACACGGACAGTCCCTCCTATGTTGCCTTACTCAGAAAGCTTTTGCAGTGTGTCACCGGAGTTGGGATGACTAACAAGAAGAGCAAACCAAGTGTACAGTTCAGAGCGATTCTTATTTTTCCTTCGCTCTCTGCTTCATTAATGTCATGTGCGTGAGTATTACACTGATGTGTCATTTCAATGGGATTCTTTTAGACGTCTTTTGTTTGTCACACAGCATTGTTGCAAACCAAACGTTGAAGGTTTAATAAAAGAGACAATAAAATGTGAAAGAATTGGCTCCCGTTTTTTCTTCATTAAGTGCTCGAGCTGGGATTACCTGCCGCTTTGGGAATGAAAATGATCCTCAAATTTGCGCAGTACATGGTGCAAACGGCGTTTCTCACTTCTAGCCATCCTGAGGTGGTCCAGCAGCTCATGCCTACACATGTAGACACAAAGAAAACAGACAAACATACAACAGTGTTATTAGAAGACACTTTGAATCCCCAACGTCTAAAGAAATAGATAATACATTCTCCGTCTTACTAAAAACATGTTATATTCTGAATACACCTGTGAGTCACTGTTTGGCTATAACTGGACTGAAAGCTATTTGGCTGAGTGAGGGTGGTCCTGTCTGTTTCAGTTTTCTGTCTGAAAAAGCAGTTCTAAAGATGAGACAGAGGCCAAAAACACATGCATGTGAACTGGATTTTATTACATTTTTGTGGTAGGAAAGTCAGGTACCCCAGATTTAACGACTGAACAGGTTTTTATATATTTCACAGATAGCAGAAGATGCTTATTCTTTCAGCAGAAACAAAATGCTAAACACACTACACTACTTTTGGAGCTCTGACTGTTTTAGATTGTTGTGGCGGGTCCATGCACAACTGGAATGGAGTGATAATAGGGGACTATAAAAACATTTGAATGCTTTTTTTTGAAAGTTTGTGTTCCTGGAGAATTTTTGCCTTTGTTCTCCTCTCCAACAGAATTCTCAATATTGCAGGTCTATGTATAACTCTCAAGCCCTCAATGTAAAACACACATTGCTTTAACATTAGAAAGTAGTTTTAATGTAGAAGCAACTAGACCTGGATGCTTCATGAAGTGTTGCCATGGTGATGAGTTGCGACTGGTAATCGTTAGCTTCCTCTAAAGGAGACACCAGTGGAGTTTCACAGCTCTCTGTCAGAGCCTGGTCTGAGGAGGAGGGTTTAACCCAGTGAGGCAGCGGCCGTGGGCTCTCCTCATCAGAGTCTTCCTCTTCATCCTGTCCGCACAGATCATCCACACAATGACACAAAAACAATATTATAATAAACTCTTCTGATTATTCTGTATACAACACATCTGAAGGCTTTATCAGTTATTGATGTAACACCCACACACTGCCACAAGAGGGAAGAAGAGACAAATAAATGTGCCCATTATCTCCATGGGGTTAGAAAGTTGTGGGATGATCATTTAAGAATACTAAATATCAATTATCTATATTAACATGTCTCGTTCTCTTCCCAGCTAAAATGTAACAAACTAAATAATTTTACTAAAAAAGGTTAAAACGTTTATAACAACTAAAATAAGTCAAAAATTGCTCAAATGTGGCAAAATGTATGTTTGTATGCACATTTGACTGCCTTTAACAAGAATCCCATAATAAAAATCTCATAATTTCTAATTGTATGTAACTGTGTTTAACTTTTGAGAGATTAAGAAAGAGGTTCTTAATCTCAATCAGACTTCCCTGGTTAAATGAAGGTTAAAAAAAAAGATGCAAGAAATGTCTCCTTTGGAATGAGAATATAAAGCAATAGTTCTTGAAATAAGACTAAATGTCTTTGTCGTTAAACAAGATTTGCCAATGGGACAGTCAGAATGTACTTAAATAAAATAAAAAAACACATGATTCAAGCAAGATAACTGTTCTTTTAAAATAATAAATACTTTTAAAGCATGATCTTTCAAGAAGCCTTATGATAAAAACAGATGAACTCACAATAGTGGTGATGGCAGACGAGACAGAGGAATGATTCTGGAGCTGCTTCACGACTCGGTATCGGTCATAAAAAGGCTTCATCAGAGTCCGCTCTTGTCTGGTGCTCTAAACACACACATCAATCAAAGATCAGTCTGCAGTCGACTGCAGCCTGGCCGCCAGACGTGCCTCCTCGTCCTCAGGCTGGCAAGGATCATTATTTTAATCATCAATGAATCTGATTAGTTTTAAGAACACAGATATGTGATTATAACTTGTGCAGAAAGGGCAGAGTTGGAGTTAAAAGACTTTCAAATGTTCTATTGTGTTATCCATAAACATTTCATTAACATATGTTGTGTAATTGGTTGAATGGGGCACTTCTCTGTTTTTAAATCACATTTCTCGATGCATACATGTTTCATTGTCTTCATATGGAGCATTAACATAAAAAACAAAAATAATCAATTATACAAGATAATTTCTTACCGGTCGCCCATGAAGACCCTCGTAGTACAGCAAACACTTCTGTAAGCAGGTCTTTTCCAGGGCAATTTGGAAATGGGACATCTCCTGCAAACCATTTAACAATATTTGAAAAATCTGTAGTAAGTACTTAGTAAGTGTTTTGACAAATTACAAACCTTGAGACTGTCTGGCAGTTGAAGCTCTTCCTTCAGTCTGCTTGTGATAACCCCGAGCGTTTCCTCCACTTTAGGTTTTGTGTTGTTGTTATTAAGCAGCTGTCGTTCCAACCCTGTCAATGCTGCCCCCCGCTGGTCACGGCCATCTTTGCAGGACTGATGCGGCATATTTTCTTCTCCATTTATGGATTGGTTTAGTTTTATTTCTGAGATCAGACATAAATCAATGAAGCAGATTGGTAAATTTTAAAGATGGTTTCACAGCGATGAAGGGTAAATATGATGATCCCACCTTTGAGCTGCTTGCGGCTCTTGATCAACTCCTTCATAAGCCTGGCCACTTCTGGATTCGCCGTCTTGTCATTGAGAGCTGGCTAAGGTCACAAAAACATGCAAATGATCAGTGGATTATCTAATAAATGTAAGGAAATTATATAGGTCAGAATAAAAAGTTGCCAAAACATGTACTTTATTATTCTACAAATTCAAAAACGTACCCACTGAATAGAAAGTTATGCCACAAGAAATGATTCAGCGCTAATGAGTAATGTTTGGTGTTAGAGGGAGCGTTCTGATAACACAAATCTGACTCAGCCCATGTCCCACTTATCCAATTTCTCTCTGAAGCACCGGCGACCTCCTTATGTCAGAGTCAAGATGGTCAACTCATCTGCAATTAGGATGTGTGCACAACAGAGAGAAGAGTCTGATATTTTCTCCCACCTTGTAGTGTTTCTCTTGTTCAAAGCTCTCCTCAAAACGCCGGATTCTCTTCCTCAGGTAGTGAATGTGTCGGTTCAGCATCGTCACACACGATTCTGCGCCGTGGACGTTGCTCCGTGCCCTGGAGACGAGAATGCAATTTATTCATACAAACAAAGAGGACGTTCAAAAGTAGCCGCTTCAGGACACAGGTCTTTCCGAGCTGTCACATGCACATGGCAAGAGTGCGCCTTGGGGTGATATCAAAATTCCCGAAATAGCATAGGTGAGAGGACGCTCGCGCTGCTTACGTTCGTACTTCCTGTGAGCACGGAGGAGAAGGGGCGGTGTCGGGGTCCAGGTTGTAGCGGAGGCTGTGGCTGATGCTGGGGCAGCGAGGGGACGGCACAGGGCAGTCGCTGGTGGTGATGTGTGAGAGGAGAGGGATAGGGGCGGTGGCAGTGGGAGACTTGTCCTCTGATACAGCAGAGGTGCAGACAGAAGCGGACTCAGAGGTGGATGAAGAAGTGGAGTTTTCTGAGGGAGAGGCAATAAAAAAAAAGATTGATCAGAATAGTTGCTAATGAGATGTACTGGTGAAACTTGGAAAATGATAATATTGTTTCAAAGTTTGTTTATTTCTGAAATCCAACCTAAACTGGGAAACCAACCTATGACAAAGAGACGTAGGTCAAGCCTTTTTTTATTTTATTTTGATGATTGTGGATCACAGTCCATTTTAAATAATACAATTTTCTGAAAGGCTTTATTTGGGGTTTTTCAATTGTGAGCTTAAAGGATTGATCTTTCTCACTTTGCGGGTAATGAGTCAAATATTGGTTTAACATTGTAAGTTGGATTACAGAAGTAAATGGACTTCTGAACGATATCGCAATTTTCTTCTGCGTCTGGGTGACTTCAAGAAACACTTTGGTTTAAAACTGGAGTACCCAACTTTTTGTTTTATGAATAATACTGTTGTTATCCATGAGCGTCCATGTCAACGTGGAAAGTACATGAGATCAAATCAGACCACAACATGCAGTCTTCATCTTATTAGAAACCATGTTATTGTTTGCAAACTTGTAAGAAAAAGCCTTGTCGCAATTTGTCTCTTTGGTTTGAGAGCTGAGAGTTAAGGTTTTTTAACTTTTGTGTCTGAAAAGCTGATCTATAGTGTGTGACAGAGTCCAAGAAAACATGCATCATAGAACCAAACTGCTTTAAGATCGAGGAAATAGTTGCATGGATTTTATTACAAAGTTGATATTTTCTATAATTTCCATGTTAGATACAAAAGCTTTCAATATTCAGTTCAGACAGTTGCAAAAAGAGCAATTTAATGTGTGCATGTCATAAGATACAATAAGACTCGCCTTATAAGAATCGCCAAAAACACACAAGGAGATAAACGTATTTCAAGATTGAGATGTTAGTTTGAAAAATGCGTGATTTAATATATTTTACTTCTGAAATGCACCTCTACACCAACCTGAAATGACGATATGTGAGCGTTTGTCTCACCTGTCTGTGCGGTGTCGGTGGTGGTAAAGTCCATTGATGAGTGGAGCAGTGTGGGGTGGTAGAAGGCGGCAGGCTGTTGCTGAGCAGGTAGATCTTCTGGAGTCTGGACGTCGGCAGGTGATTGTGATAATCCAAACTCGGCCTCTAGGGCTTGGAGCTTTCGGGTTGGACTCTGGAAGCACGAGCAAAACATTTCTTCAGAGATGGGAATAATGTAGAAGTCAATCTTTACTGTACGCGAGAGGAATCCTTAATGGCTCTTTCACAAGCAGTTTATTCATCAAGAAACGTCTGCATCCCACAAAATCAGGAACAAATACTGAATCCCTAAGCAAGCAGCATCCAAAAGTTGTATATATTTAGGTCCTCTTGATGCGCGAGTCTGTCTGAGTCCCTAATTCCACATGGCATTCCTTAAGTTTCTGCGACAAACTGCCTCCACATGGATTATTTATCTTGTGTGGAGCAAAAGGGGGCGGTGGGAATGCCATTTGGTGCCGGTGCGTGTGTGGTGGGTGTGTGCGAGGAGAGAGAGAGAGAGAGAGAGGATGCGTGCTGTAAATGACGAGGCGTTTCCAGGACAACGTTGTCAGCTTAAGCACAGAGTCCAGCAGTTCCTCTGTCTTCTAGTCTATGACTAGTATGTGGGCGTAGAACATCGCATTGTGACGTCAATTGTTTTGTTTCTTATTTTTGCCTCATGTGTTAGCTGCCCAGGGTGTTTTTTTAAGGGAGTTTATGCTTTCCAGTTTTAGATATTGCTTTCATTTCAAACACATATCCCAATTTACTACAATTTTGTTTCAAATTATGCAGAAGAAATGATGGTCAGACATTAATGGTAGCTTTTTCTGAGAGACATGAAACTGTTGTAATAAATGAACAAAAGTGATTTATATCAGCTTTTATCTGATGTCCTAAAGGTCATCAGATAAAAGCTGATATAAATCATATTCAAGCCACTAAAAAAATTACAAATGTACTGATCCATGAAATTACTAGTAGCATCGTGAGCTTGTTGAAAGCGATTATGTGCAGACGCTGTTTTAGTCCAGGTATCACAGCTCCAGTCGTCATGGCGATGGCCATAAATAAGGCATGCTAATTTTATGTATGTGGACTGAGGGGATAGCGAACTTACGTCACAGCAGTTTCTGCGACTGCAATCAGTGTGTCCGTCAAGACAACTGCTCCCCTGAAGAGAAAAACCTTCATTAAAGGAACCGTATGTAACAACCATGTCTTCTATTTGCAGATTAAGACACTGGCAATACTGGATTAGTTGGATTTGGATTTGTAGAACCTATTTTAAAATGTAGGTCTGTGGACACATACCCGTGAATGTAGGTTAGTAATAATCTTTATTCATATGGTTCTTTTCATTGACCAGGGTCACAAGCACTTTCAAAAATAATCTAGGTTAAAATATATACATGGAAGAGGTGGAAAACATTGTCAAATGTGTGGTGCAAGAGTCTATATACTCTACTGTATGTCTGTTTTGGAATAAAAAATAATTAGCCGCTCCTAATCAATATTTGTAATCAAATTAGTCCAGTTCTCAGGTCCCTGCACTGACTTCCTGTGGCTCAGAAAATAGACTTTAAAGCAGCTCTGTACCAAAGTACATCTGTGACATGTTAGTGCCATGTGAACCAACTCTGAGGAGCACAGGGACTGGCCTCCTGCTGGAGCCCAGAGTCAGAACTAAACATGTGGAGGCAGTGTTACAAAAAAAAATGCGAAATGGTAACTTTGAGCCTTTTACCATGTTACTGTTCTGTCTGATGCACCTTACACTATGACATCATGTTGAGAGGTGTTTTCTGGCTTTAAAGGAAAAATAATTGCTCCTAAATTCGTTTTGACAATTTCTAGGCAAGGCAAGTTTATTTTTATAGCACAATTCATATACAAGGCAACTCAAAGAGCTGAGCAAAACAAGATAGCATTAAAATCATAAATAATCACAGTACATTAAAAAGAAAGATAAAATATAAAAATCCCTCAGTTGGATGCACAGCTAAACAGAACTGTTTTTAACCTGGTTTTAAACATTGTCAGAGAGGAGGCCTGTCTCACATCTTCAGGAAGATTGTTCCAGATTTTAGCATTATGAATCTGAAAAGCAGCCTTCCCATTCTTTGGGAATAGATTTTGGCCTTTGGGAATATTCCAGAATGAAGGGACATGTTTACTATCTGTGTGAGTGAAGGTAACAAACTGCTCAGAACAGACTTTAGAAATCGAGTGGGTAGTACTAGTACTAGTAGAGGTGAATAGACTTTCTTTACAATCACATGACTGTATTTGCAGCAGGTAATATTCAAATTTGAAAAATAATGGGAAACAAATCAACTATTATCCATATTATCCCTATTATTATTTTTTCATCTAAGAAAATATTTCACATTTTAAAACATGAAATGCCAACGTAAAAATGCATGTTAAGGGCCAAGAATAATGCATTATATTTATTGTTAAAGCAGAATTACCTCTGGGTCTCGACACGTCTCATTTCTGTTCTTTTGGGGACTGAAAAACAAAGTGACATCGATAGAGTCACAAACACAGAAAATGGCTGCTGTAAGAGAAGTGTGCGTGCGTCATTCTATACAGTATGTGGGAGTGTTGTAGTCACTGCAATGCTGTGCACAAGAACTCAGTAATGTTTTCTGTGACATTAAGATTCCCCCTGTCCTTTGTTAATCACACACACCACAGCAGTGACCTGTTCAGTGAAGACTTAGGGCGGAAAGCCTGCCACCACGGGAAGCTGACCTCATACTGTACAGCTACTCGGTCCATGTGAGAGCCTGTGGCAAACATTGTTATCTGAACTGGAATCAAGAAGAGAAAACGTGACTGTGGGCAGCACACTGCTCTGCTAACCTACTTCTCCACTGACTCTAGAGAACTGAAGGAGCAGATGTGAAGACAATAGGATTCTTGCAAGTATCATTACAATACAGATCATCAGAATGAGCAGTTCAGATCAAATCAGATAAAAACATCACTTCTCACCTTTCAACAAGACCATGAGCTCCGGTCAAGTCAGACAGATCAGCCGTCTTAGCCTCCTACAAATAGATCAAATGGAACTTTCACTTTTTAAGTTAACTGTTAAGGTAAAGTGTATTCATTCCACCATTTGTAATTAACATATTAGAATATTGTCCTCTGCAATTGACCAATTGACCCATAATTTCATTGCCAAGAGAGCAGGAATTATTTTACCCACCCATGAACTACTTTTCCAGCAACCAATAAGCTGTGATCTACCGCTGTAGCGCATGTTTTGGGTGGTGGGGAAAACCAGGTAACCTCTCCTACAAGATGAATTCTCGCTATTATTGTGACATAACAAAGACCTCAACTCAAGAGTTATACAAAACATTGATCTGACCCTTCCTTGCCAGGTTAGAAAAGTTTATAAGTTTCATCTGTATTTCAAAATAGATAAACATTTGTCTCACTAAATATCATACCATTTGGCTGTCACCCTGGTTTTCTCCAGAGAAGGCAACTGGTGTGTTGGAGCATTCTGACCTGTGGAAAATATCACAATACATTTACGGTCTGTCATATTTGTCTCTGTCATATTTTGAACTGAAAAATCTTTCCAGGTAACAATGATAACCATCAAAAGTAAGATTTCTAGGCTTAGTTTAGAGCTTTCCACATCTTATTTGTCAACAAGTATCCACAATGATCTAATTATTTTCTGAGAAGTGGTGACAATATACAAGAGGCAAGATGTTGGCAATGGAAAGGTCTCAGGCAGAAGAATAATATAGCGTCTTTGAGAATATTATCACTTTCAATTTTATCATTAATTCTAACTATCAACTATGAATTCTAGAACATAAGCGCAACCTATTAATAAGAAATAGGTCAGTTTAATGCGTGTAATAAGTGTTTGGTTTGAAATATTTGTTTGAATGAAATCGAGAAGGTGCGTCATTCATCTTCTTCTCCGCTTTATCCGTTTCCGGGTCACAGAGGCAGCAGTTTGAGCAGAGACGCCCAGACTTCCCCCTCTACACACACTTTCTCCAGCTCCTCCTCGAGAATCTTGAGTCGTTCCCAGGCCAGCTGAGAGACATGGTCCCTCCAATGTGATTTTGAATGAGCTGCAAAAGTGCTTAAATAACCAGCCCTATCTCTATTTGAAATCATAGTTGACTGACTAAAGTACAGCAATAATTTGTGTCTGTACCTGTTTGAACGAGGTGTTGCTTTTGTTAAAGACTTTGAAGAGAGAGACACCGTTTCATCTCCTGATCTGTCCTCATGATTCTCCTCTGACCGGTGGCTACAGGGATGGGCCTAAAACAGAAAAACGTATACAAGTGAAATTATACTGTTATAGAAATCTGAATTAACATTAAATACTTATAAGAGTATGTTATAAACCATTCCTCAATTCTTGATTCAAATACAGCGCATGTTATCTGTCTCATGGATGGGAAACTTTAAATGTATTATGTCCTAGGAGAAATGTGTCTTAGACTCACAGGCTGCTACATTGAAAAAACACACAAGACAGACATAAACAATCACCGCTCTGCTCCGTGACCTGCATTCAGGAGGTTTTAACATGTTTTCTGTGTCAAAGGACAGTATTCTCCAGGTCAAAGATTATTACATGAAGTATCAAGAGTTGTATCAGCATAAGAAAGCGTAAAAAGAAGCGTAGTGCTGCACATATCCATGACTTCATTGTTTAGCTATGGAGTGGATGTGTGTGTTTACTCTGGTCTATTTAATGTCTGCCCTTTAAATTCAGGGCACACTGTTTCAGATTGCTGCCAGGTGGTACGGGTGACGTGGTCCCTTTTCCATTGTTTATGTGCATATTTACTAATAGATAAACTCAAACTTTGATTGTTTTACAGCTCTTGATTGTTCTTATCGTCTTTGCTCTTGGCCTGTACAGAAATTCAACCATATAGTACTAGAATACACAGTACTTTATTCTTACTCTTCTTAAAGATAGAGATTTTATACTGGTTTCTTCTTCATGCTGGGGTTAGAGATTTTATTTAGCATACAGTTATTGTTAATTTATCTTGTGCTGTGTGCTCCTCATTCCTACTGTTCTGTAACAGTGGTGATGCAACACTGAAATTTCCCCACTGTGGGACGAATGAAGGATCTCTTGAACAATACCTGGATTTGTGAGAGTGCAGACAGAGGAGGAGGCGGGGTAGAGGGAACTTCTTCATTGGATATTAGTTGTTGTTGTTCGTGGTCTTGGAATAGGGCTGTGTGGTGCCGCAACAGGTGCAGCAAGAGGCCGTTGCATAGACTCTGCTCCTCAATCATCCTGGGTCCTGCTGGTACGCTGAAAAGTAAGACAACATGACAACAATCCAATTCAATGATTTTTTTTGTGCATCCCTAATTCACAACAGGAAATCCAATAACAAACAATATCATCAAAGGATTTCTAAATAGTTATGAGTGCCATCTAGTGGAGGGAGCTGTAATATAAGGTTATCAGTGACTGCAGAGAGGACTGCAGAGAGGATAGGACGTAAACATGCATGCAGACAAACTGCCACATGCCTTCATGATGTATGGAGCGTGTCTGTAGAGGCTATGTGGAAAATGTGAATATTTATAGAGGTTCTTGCAGAGGCATTCAGATTGAATGACAAATAGAGAACTGTAAATACAAGTAGTCACAAGTGCTGTCAAACAGAGAGCATCATGGAAACAAGTAGGTGTTGAGCTAATGTCCGAGTTCTATAATCATAATCACCCTGATGATTGGTCTGAAACTGCCCCTTGTTATCATTGGTAAATAATTGTCAACTCATTAAAGTGAACTGGTCGTAATGTTTGAGAGATATTCCTGTTTTGGAGAATTGGAAATTGTATACGAATAAAGACATTTTATAAATGCATTTTGTTTTGTTATTTACTATTGTCTCAATATCAAAACTATCAGATTGAAAAAAATTATATGTTGTACAATTGGGCAAGAAAAATAATTGGATAAATCATGAACATAATTCTCTCAGGGCTTCTGCGACACGTTTTCTAAATGCTAAATTACTTGAATCTGTTGGAATAAATCGGCTTTCAAAAGATTATAGAAGAAATGCACCCATTTAAATTGTGATGATTCCTGAGAGTGTGTAATTGTGAGTCCGCCTCCCGCGGGACTGCGTCTGTTTACGAAGAGGGGTGACATCTATAAACAGAAAGCGCCTGATGCAGACTCCTAATGTTAGCGTTATCAGATCTCTCCACACCCACTTCCTAAAAAGGGAAAAGAAACTAAACCCTGGTTGGAATTGGATATTCAAAAAATACAATTCGACATATATCAAAGAGACCTTTGCATATTTCTTCTGCAATAGTTCACAAAAAGGAATTAAGACAGCCCTTATATGTTCCAGTATTGTCTGTAATTTAACACCCACAGTGCTCTGCTGGATGTCAGCGTGTTCCGTGTGTGTTGACAATGTTGGGAACACAGTGTTCCAGTTTACTATGAAGAGAATGTAGCATTAACACCCATTACTTACTGAAAAATACAAGGTCCAAAGATGGTTGCCAGGTTTTCCATTGGCATGTGATTAGACTGGCTGAGCAGGGCCACTCTGGACAGGAAGTTTAGGAGGTAGGCCAAGATAATGAGGTTGTCAGCAGGGAGGTGCTGAAGATTTTCTTTCAGAGATTGATTGGTCTGGGTGTTGTCTAAATTTCCTATGAGGATGAGACCATAAAGGGAACTCTTAGTACTGTGGTATATCAATCATAAACGATTATACATATATTGTATGTACACACACACACACACACAGAGATAGAGAATTTAACTTAGTTACATTATTTTTGGATTGCTTTAGTAATTTAATATACATTTAATATGAATTACTGCATATGGTCTTTATGTTTTATGTAAAGACAATTTACATAAAACATCTGGCTGAAATTGACATTGGTGACAGTAAACATGAACCACTGCTCCTGCTATAGACTGGAGGTTTTTATTCAGTCCTGTCTGTGGGTTTGGCACTTCCAGCACATTCAAAATGTGCCTGAAGTACAAAGATCTTTCCTTTAAAAACCAAGAATAAAATACTAATATTGGTGGAGATTTAAGTAAATAGTAAGGATTCTGTAACCATAATTGATTGTAATTTTGTAAGTATAAGGATTGCATGCTTAGCTACTTAAAATATATTCAAATTATAGTAACTTAAGTACGGTAGGAGCATAGTTATTAAATCAGCAGCTTGTACCTTTATAGCAGATACATCAATTGCCAAATGATACAATTTAATGTTTTTGCAATACCTTTAAGACAATAGATGAGCTGTGTACGGTGAGTTTCAGGGACTATGGGAACAGGCAGCTCTCGAAAGAACAGTTTAAGAAGTGATGCCACAGTGGGGACATCTCCATGGCTTACGAGGTCGACGTTCTCCCCCCTGTCCCACCGCTGCCTCAGGCTTCTCATGCGCAGCACGGAGCCACAGAGTCGAAACAGCCCTCTATGCTGCAGACCTGATGCAGACCAATACAGACTTTACATTCATGCAGGGTACAACAGAAAATGAACATAACATGTCAGTGATAAACGGGATTACCATTGTTATTGAGGTATTCCACCATGACTTTCAGAACAGCTGGGATTCCACACTCCATATGTCCGTCTTTCTTCAGTGTCTCCAGGGAAACGCCAAACACACCGCTGGGAGTCAGGGCGGACACCAAAGGCTCCGGGCTCACTTTAGCAGTGGAGCGAAGAACTTTCACTGAGGAAGAGTCGCTCTAAAAATGGGACACAATGGGTGACTACAATAACAGAAAAGAAGGCAAAGACAAGAACCAAACAACCTCAAAAGTCAGAAAAATATGTTGGCAAAAGTTTAATTTATTTAGCGTTATTTGCTTTTATACAACAGTAAATTAAGAATGTTTTTCTTTCAAAGATTGTTTTAGTAAAATGTTTTAAGGATCTTCAATTAAAAACAGAAGCTATTCTAACCTGTAATTTATAGGAGGCTTTTTAAAACATATTTTAAGTCGTATCAATGACAATTATGCAGCTTCTATGCTAATATTTCTGACATAAACGTGGCAGCGCAATAACGGAACCGTTACAATTAACAGTTAACTCTCAGTAACACGGGGCAGAACATTGTCATATCACGTTATTTCACGTCTATTCGTCGTTACCTGAGTAGAAGAATACGTAGGCAGATTAGAACAACCTTCATACTGACTGAAGATAAAGTAACTGCTCCAACTTACGCAGAGCGACACCGAGGCGCTCGCTCCCATCTTCAGCTCAGCTCGTCTCCGGACATCTTACACGGACTTTAGTTTGTCTCAACACGACGCAATGACCTGGAGACTGTGCCTTCACAATACAGCCAGGACTGGACGCCATCCTGCGGGTCCATCCGTGAGTCAGACTGAAGATATGAACAGACCCGCGGAGCGTCGGAGGGACTATAGACGCGGGCACTGTTAGCCGTTAGCTTAGTAATGTTTATGTTGCTGGTCACGTGAGTGTTCCCATGGCGACAGGAGGTTGCCCTTGCAGGAAGGATGCTCACTGTTATCGAGAGGCTAAAGCATACATGGAAGGAACATCCTATGAAGTGCAATGCATGACGACAATTATGTTTAAACATTTTATTGCCACATTATAAATAAAATACAATAAAAAAATCAAATGAGCATTAACAAAATACTGGCTTACAAAAAAACAGCCTTACTGAAAAGTTAACAGTAACTGCTGCCCAAGACGTGCCTAAAACTGTCAATTAAATACAGTTTTTACATGGGTTATTTTAAACAACATTCAAGTAGTTCTAAAATCCTACTGAAAAACCGTACAAATGTTGTAGTCCTTCATGGAAACGCATGTCATTTTCCAGAAGGCCTATGTGTGCTTCTAGGACAAAAATGTGCATAAAAAAATATATAGGCTATATAAAACATCTAAATAGAGCCCATACCATGAACATTATGAACACATTGGGATGGGCCTCCCTCCAACAAATACACAACTAATACATCCCATATTGAGACACATCAGCACGGGCAGTGCTGCTTTTGCCACAGTTGTGGGCTTAAAACCATAGTTGAAATATATGCTTGTGATAATAATAGTGTTAATAAGTGATGAAGGAGGTTCTTTCATTGTTCCAGTAGGCCTTGTGTTACGTACTTTGGTATGAATCAACATATAACACACATTCAAGTAGAAAGACATGAATGGATCTGTTCGAAAGCAATGTGTGGTAAATGATTATGTGCTATTGCATATCAGTTGCATACACTCAATTATTTCGGTCCCCCAGCAGTTGCTACAGTGTGTGCATAACAGCACTAAATCAAATGTAATAGTGTTTTTTAAAAGCAAGTTTAGAAATAAGGCAATAAAAAATACAGCCAACAGTGTAAAATCTTTGCAGTGTCGAGTATCAACCTGAGAAATGCAGGCAAAACAGTACAACAAATAAGCCTGTATCTCAGAATGTCTGGCATTATTTTGGTATCTTCATAAGACCCTGGAAAAAAAAAAATCTCATACTAACATATAAAAATATTCTTCTCAGAAGATCCTTTCATGTCAGTTCCATCAGAAAAGTGATTGGGCAGTGGATTAGTTTGAGTAACGCAATTTATGCTACTGAGATGACTTTTTCACAAGTGCTGGTGTACTAAATCTCGGGCTTGGCTTTCTCAACATTTTTCCTGTTCCAGCAGGGAAGGGTGAGAATAAATAAAATAAAGGCACCAAGGATCACACAGGTTCCACAGAAATAAAATGCCAAATCATAGGACTGTGTCCAGTCAAAAAACCAACCTGGAAAGAAGCAGAACAGTGAGATTAACAAATGCATGGCCCACTGGACAATAACTTATGTTTCCTTACCTACAACAGGGGGTCCCAGCATGATCCCAAAGCCACCAAAAGACATGAGGATGCCATGAGCTTGTGTCAGTCTGTCCAAGCCCACGATTTTAGTGGTAATGTAGGAGGTGAGGGACCAGTTTCCAGAGAAGAAGCCAAGCACTGCAATGAGTATCTGCAGGCCCAGATAACTCTTTGTGATGGGGATGAGGAACAGTATAAATCCTCCAGCAAACATGGTGAAGCCATACAGATAGATGCTGTTGATCCATTTGAAGTCAACCAGCATTCCTAACACTAGTTTACCCACACAGGTGGCAATAGCCCCTATTGAAACCAGGGGAATGAGACTAACTTCTTCAATCAGTCCCTGACTTTGGGCAACATCTTCGATAAACATCACAGGTGGAAATGCCCCAAGACTGAATAGGAATAATGCAATACAAAAGGCCACCATGGCTTGGTCCTGTAGTATTTCATACATGGAGTAAATATACTTAGAGTACGCCTGTTGCTTCTTTTTAATTATTGTCATTATAACCACGCCTGAGAGGCAAGAGCCTTTCTTTGTCTCTGTTTGGGCATTTAAGTCCTTCGAGTCTATGGATATGAGCAGCTCCTTCACTGTCGGTGTGGTGGTTGTGGAGGAACCAGTCATGATTTTCATATCCTCCAGAGGAGACTTCTCCAAAAGTTGCTCCCCACTGTTGCGCTCCAGTGCTGCCTTCTGTTTGAGGTAGTAGCCGGGCATGTTGAGCGGCCTCATGAAGCCTGCACAAGCCATGAGGTTCAGAGCAACGGCACCGATGATGAGCAGGCAGCCATCCAAACCAAACAGCACCATCAACTCATTTTGTGCAGTGGCATAAATGAATGCACCGACACTGGTCCCTGTGTAACAACAAACACATTTTAGAAACACTCTTTGTGAATATTTCAATTATTCTCTAAATATATCACGAGAGACACAGTGCTACTTTATTGTACACAGTCCTCAGTTCTAACTTGAACCTGTTTTAAATCTGAGCCGACAGACCTGGATGGTTGTCCAGCTGACTAGCATAGCCTTCTGTCATGACTACTCTGCAAATGTTTACCTTTGATCTTTCTCCCAGCAGCTCATGCATGAAAGAGGTAAACATGGAGAAGTTGTACATCCCAGAGCTGTGTGCAGAGGAAAGGCTCTAGTACCTGTGGTGACAATGCCGAGCGCCAGGCCACGCCTCTTGTCGAAATACTGACATGTGATTGTTAATGTAGCAGCATAGACCAGACCACAGCCCAGGCCTGGATGGAAGAAGAGGCAAAAGGGAAGACCAGCTTTAGAATATAGAACGAATGTAGGTAGTCTGGCTCAGAAAGTGGTATTGGTTGCTTAACAGTTGAACCATAATGATTGCATCATACTGTTCTTTGCTGTATTGATATAACACTTGGCCCAATTACATAAACCACTTCCAATCTCCTTCTGATGGGAGATTTTATTTGTAGTTCAAAAATATGGTCTCTAAAAATAAGAATACAATTAAAGAACAAACTATATTTAAAAGACATGAAACCTCACCTACAACAATGCCGTATGAAAATATAAGAAATTGGACATTGGGAGCGAATGCGCTCAGCATCAGTCCTCCGGCCACCATCACACCACTGAACACAGTCACTGGACGGGCTCCAAAGTTCTCCACACAAACACTGCAGACTGGGCCTGAAGGAACAGACACCATAAACAAAAGAAAACTACACACTCTATAGTGAGCATAGAAAGTCTACAATTCGTTAGGCATGGGAGAGTTTTAGGGGTACTTACATCATTTATTAACATTATAATCACATTTAATCTAGGTCAAGTTTATTTATCTATCAGAACTAATGTAGTATGCAGAACTATAATCTTTCAAGATGCATCAAGAGTGGGGCCTGTAATCAGAGCCTCACATCAGATGATTATACGACATATAAGGTAGCGCTGGGCCGTGCACAGAGAAGGAAGAATGTGCAGTGAGAGGCAGACCACACGTGCCCAGTGCACATCCACAGGTCCTCAGCCGTTATGTCGACTCATGATTTTAACCTCCCCTCAGGCTGCCAGCCTGACAGGAGCTATCTTTATACAAGTGACACAGATATAGCACGACTGTGTCGCTGCCTTCCACTGTGTTCACATTCATTCCAAGAGATCCTTCAACATTCAAAGCATGGATGACTTGCAGCTGTTTCTTGCCCTCTTAGAAAAATGATTACTAGGAAGTAGGGGCGTGACGATATATCGCAATATCGATATATCGCGATACTTTCTCCTGCGATTCGATTATCGATATGCATTTGCCAAGTATCAATATCGATTTTTTTTTATTAGTATATAGTTATAGTTAATATATGGCTACATTACGCATCACCATTTCATTTATCATGAAATAAAGTGTATTTTTTCACTTAACATTTTTCTTTTATTTATGCCATAAATTGGCAAATCGTATATTTCTGACCAATATATCGATAATCGTCATATCGTGATAAAATCGTTATCATGATATTATCGTTATCGTGAGCTTTGTATTGTGCATCGTATCGTATCGAGAGGTACCGTTTGGTTCCCACCCCTACTAGGAAGTCACAACTAAATGTCATCCTTTGGTCAAATGATCCTCTCCATCCAGTTAAATTCAGTATAACGTAGCAATCACACATGCATACTTATTACAAAAGATTAATAGTATGTTCAAAACAGTACATTATAAAACTATAAATTATACAATTCATTTCATTTTCTACTGTGACTTGCAGTGAGCTCTACTTACTGGCAATAAGTCCCACTCCTGCTACCATGGAGCCCACCCATGCAGTCATGCCCTTGCCCTCCTGGAAGGTGTGGAGCCACTCGGGGTACAACACCCCCACGGACTGCGGTGACCCGTAGGCCAGGAGCTGCGCCATGAAAGAAGCTGCCACGATGACCCATCCCCAGCCTCCATCCAGCTCTTTAGGAGCCATGGTGCTGAAGTGACCACTGCCCTCTAGGGTCTGCTACAGCACGTGCACAGCAGGGGCGCCTGACAGGAACAACATCAAAGCATGGATTGGAAAAACAGAAACCATTGAAACAAAGTTTGGTTGAAAGAAAAGCAAGCGGAAGCCGTTGGACTATGCGCACTTACGAAGCCTAGATGTAAGAAGGCTGCTGCAGAGCTGAGCCAGGGCCAACAGGCAGTTCACCTATGAGTCTGAGTGCAGCTCATCTGCTGCCTCTTTTTGATCCTTTTAACCACACCTTCAGAGGAGGGGAAAGAAACAAAAGTGTATTGCTTTGTAGCTCTAGTCCCATCCCCCTCCGGTTTCAAATTAGACCATAACTGCAAAAGCTAGCAATGGTCTGCAACCAGGAGAGTAGTCTTTCAGACCTTTATACATTATTTGTGAAGCCACTTTGTACTTCGCAGGAGGCATGCCTCACTTTCTTTTTCTGAGCTGTTTAGCCAAAGGCGGTCTTCATCACGTTTTTTGTTTAGTCACGTGTTTTCTCCCTCTGTTGTGACAACACTGAACATATCTGCATTTCATACCAGACCAAGGATACGGATTTGGTAAATAAAATCGAACTTACCTCAGCATCTTTATCACAAGCTGCACTCGGCCGCAGAGCTGCGCGCTCTGCAGAACTTCCCATACAGGAGCGTTAGTGACGTCGTTCCTTGGAACAATAATCAGTAGGACAAACAGACACGTCTGAGGTCTAAAGTGGACAAAGAGGACCAGAGGACAGCTGTGTGTGCGCACGAGGGAAGCCCTCTGCAGCAACAATGCGCACTGAACATCCGTTCATTCTGTTTTGTAGCCTGCAGCCAAACCGGTTCAAAGCTGTTCTCGCTGGTCCCTGACAGAGGCAGACGCGCGGCTCCCCGTGCGCGTCAAGAGCGCTCCAGACCGCACTGATGTGCACGCTGCTCACAAGCCTCACACAAACACGTGGCACTGAGGACTGTCCCCATTTCCATCTGTTTCACTTTAAAGCTGTGCTCTTACAGGCGGCAGCCCACTCTCGCACTAATACCAAGTGTGTGTCAGACATCAGGGCCATGGCTGGTCAAAAACAACCAACAAAAGACACAAGGCCACGGACGTGTACAATGTATCTGTGTGTGAAAAACACTGTCATCTTTGAAGAGGAGGAACTCTATCCAGTCTGAGCCGGTTGCTGCAGTCGCGCTTCACCAGTAAACATGCACTTCCACAGTTCTCCTCACGACCTCTGAACAATAACAAGAGTTTTAAAATAAATGGATGTGCTTGAATGAAAAAACTCAAACACAGAGAATCTCAGTCTTAAAACCAAGAGGTTGCAGCATCGTTTATACAAAAAGGACGGCACTGGCATTAGACGCACTAGCTGTCACGTATATACAGGAAAAGATTTACCGACTCTAGCTAAAGTTATTGCCACGAACCTAAGTCAATAGACGTTTTTTTCTACTGGACAGGAGAGAGTTGTGCGTATTATAATAAGGAGAAGTGGGCAAAGAAGAGAAGAATGCGTGTCATGTGAGAGCTGAGAGGTCTAACCCGCGGTCATGAGCGCGAGCAGCGGAGTCAGAGGCGCGCAGCAGAGGGAGTGATGGGAAAGAACCGAGAGAGAGATGAAAGCGCGCACACCCACACGCACGCACACACGCACCCAGGACCGAACAGGACCTAACACCCAACACAGGTCACACTGCCTCTCACCCCAAATGCACTGCACATTCTTTCATACCTTTCATGATTTTCCCCATAGTGGAAAACATGCTGCCAAGAAAGATCTGACATAAAACAAGATTTAAACGCCATAATCCCCCACATGCCTGGAAAGAGCCGAGGGAGAACAGTTAATTGTGGTGTACACGCTGACATGCTGTTCCAGACCAGTTCCGACCAGTGAATCTCATTATAGTCACAGCCTGTGTGGCCAAATACCACATCATATTTTGGAATGATAAAAATAGTAAGTCATTTACTCCAGTAACTCCAATGCTCTTATTGTGTTGTTCATTCATAATGCAATGTTTAAATGTATTTCTGTATCGCCCCAAAACAGAGTTATCTCAGAGGACTTTACAAAACTGATACATTTTCCAACACATCAGAGAATCAAACAGTACAAAGACAACAAATGCAATGATAAAAAAATATGAATACAAAAAAAAACCATAGAGCCACTGGCCCATAGGGGGCAGATGACCAAAGTCCATAAATGTTGTTGAATGTCGAGTTTCTTGAGTCATCACTGTCCTTAGATCCTCCTGCATCAGTTACACATCTAATTTGCAGCCTTTAACCATCGTGCAATAAAAGTAATGTTAATTTAAACTTTCATCTAAATGAACAAGGCCTGTCTGAGTGGAGTTTGCATGTTCTCCCTGTCCCCCCTAGGTGTTCTGGTTTCCCCTATCACTAAAAAAAACATGTGCAATAGCCCCTCTCCCCTGTGGTCTGGGCTCCCATAAAAAATAAATCTGAGGAACTTCCCTGGTTAAACAACGGTCAAGCTACTCTTTTGGAAATTAATACAAAACAATTTAATATGATGTTCAAATATGATTATTTTTTTTGGTTTAATGTAGAGAAGTGAAGAAGTGCATGGAGGAAAGAGACTGATGTCTTCGGCACAGAGAAAGTCGTGGGAGAGAGGTGTGGGGCCGGAGAGGGTTTGGGCCTGTGTCTTGGGTCTGATTGTTAGGGTGAGTGTGTACTGTCTTACACTTAATAAATCATATTGGATTGTTCTACTGTGTTACTTTTCTTTTTTTCTTTTTGACATTTCTGTTCTAGCCCGGTTGCCTTTTCTGTGCTGAATGAGTGAGGGGTGTTTGCAAGTTAAATATATCAAATCATTATTTCCTTCTTCCAACCCCCTTTCAAAACTGCATCCATCATTTTGTTCTGTAAAGTTGTATTCTTGAGGTTTAAAAAAGGGAAAAAAGGCTCTTTATTGATAGATGATTTATCTTTTGTAATTGGTCACACATATTCCCATTATTTTAACTTGAATGTACATTTAAAACGATAGTGTTTATGAGGTAAACAAGCCGGACATGTTCACTACTTGATCACAAGAGTGTCACAATGTAAAAGTGTTATGAAAAACACCGGAGGAAAACAGTATTATGTCAGAGTGAATGTGGTTTTTATCTAAATGAGGTCTTGATAAAATGACTCTAATCTATTCATTCACCTTTTCAACTCAGCGATTATCTCACTCACACTGTTGAGGAAATGGTATCATCCTCAAAAGATGATCTAACAAAATACCTTGTAAAGCATATCTATCCTGTTATGTGCCCTAATAATCAGCAGACCATACACTGTGCCTCGGCAAGAAGTGTGTGTAATAGTGGTCACCCATTAATAACACGACAAAAACAACAAATTAATGATAAGCCATCAACAAAATAAGTATGGACTTTGGATGCGTAATCTGCTTGCTATAGTGGTATAAATGATGATGATGATGGGAAGAACTGGTCAGACAATTAAATCACGTGAATTAAATGTGAACCTAATATGGTGATTGAAAGTCTATAGAACAATGTACATGTTTTTTTTTTTTTTGGCTTAAATAGTCAAAGCTGGAGTATTTAAATTTGAAGCCACAAAAATCACTATTTAACAAAAAAAACAATGTCCTAGTTTAGCTTCAAACAGTTTAGTTCCATTTCTAGATTTCACATGCATGTATTTCATATCTAGGTCAGCTAGAGTGCCAGCCTCGGCTTTTAATACGTAACAACAAAATTGAAGCACCGCAGCTAAATGTTTTCAAATTGGTGGATATTTTTAAATTTCCTGGTACAATATTTGGGGATAAAACTAAACTTCAATTTTATGTTGTATTGTTTGAAAGCGAGATGTTATGGCAGAAATGAATAGGAATAACGTGAGTTGAACGGCCGTTTGTAATTTACAGTGATACAGCATGCAATTAAGATGAGAAATAAAACCTGTTACATTAGAAACCGATTTCCCAGCGGTTCTATCCAGTCTGACATGAAATCCCACATCCCATGTTTTTTCAGTCGTAGTGTGAAACCTGAGAAACCCCCTCTCGCTGTTCTCTGCTGAAGGAAGCTTGACCACCTGGCTTTCACGGATCCACAAAGGGCAAAGGCCACCGACGCACACAGCCAGACGACTTGCTTGGATTAGTTCAGATTGCAGACTTGGGCTATAACAAAGGACACTGCGTCATAGAATCAACACATTTGTAACGGACATCTAGGCAAGAATTTCATCATGTAAGTCTCCGTTCACTCCAGTGTGCTTCTACCTACCGCGGTGTGGGAGTAGGGTTGCCAACCGTCCCTTGAAATACGGAATTGTCCCGTATTATAGAAAAACTATGTGCGTCCCGTATTGAACTGATACGGAACGGCTTTTGTCCCGTATTTTCAGAGTCGCCTTAAATGCATCACTCACTCACTGCATGTCACACAAGCGACACACGCACACACAGTAATCACAGTTTAAGCGTCTACCTTTCGGCCAAACAGTGTCAAAGGGAGCGTAAGCTTGATCACATCCATGGGTTTACCCCTGTTGACAAGTGACAGCGTGGGCCGTGCATGGATCTATGGGGGCCGTGCCCGCAGCATCATCCTGGCAGAAGTCTGGTAAAGTAGCGTCATATTCCCAGATTCGGACTTCCGCGGTCAATAGCTCACGGAAGTTACTTTGTTAAACAAAAGTAATTTGCTAAAATGATCACCTCTATGCATGGACGTCGGAACTATTTTCTGAGAGGGGGGGCGGGTTTTTGTTGGGAGAGTCGAGGGAGAGACTCATACTTGGATTACACTGGATAATAACATACCATCTTAATTGTTAAGAAAAACAAAATAAACAATATATATCAAGCAAGTCACTTATCAAACTGAACTTTTTTTTTTCAATACGCATTCATGCGTCAGTCTCTCCGGTGGCTTCATTGTGTTGTGTAGCCCAGTGACGTGCGGTCAGATGAG